TGTATGTATGTATGTATGTAAATGGTTACATAACAAATGACTTGTATTGCTGTATGATTTAATATTTGTTTCAGCTTATCACTAAAAGTGGTTTTGTGTTCCAATTTCTCATGCAAGAAAACGTTCATGGTTCCTTGGTCACAGAAGAATGAAACTAGAAGATCCAACCTCCTCATTACATTATACAGGATTTCACTTAATGTGTTACTATCAAGGAGCAAACACAGAACCATCAGATAAATGGGCTTATCCAACAATGGGTGCTTCCACCTCCAACAAATGGGGTTGTTCAGGTTGAACAACCATTTATTCTGAGTGTATGAAGTGCAACCATTTTTGTTGGAGATAACTGATATTCCATAAACACGGTAAAACTTTAACTTTATACTGTTCACAAAATATTACTAAAGTCTACCTAAAGAATTACATTATATAGAGGGGGTACCTTACCCTATCACCAAACACATGCAGAAGGCGGGGGGTGTACTTCTTGGGTTCCACATGACGGAATCCTGTTTCAGCCCTACGTGACAAATCATGCAAAAAGAAAAAAATTGTAACTGCAGTATGTGTTTGACAAATTTTAGTCCACATCCTCTAAATGGAAAAACTTGTTGATAGAGACCTTCATGCCTTTTCATTATACTAAACAGGGCTTCAATTAACATTGAAATAACAGGAAAGTGCCCACTGAAGGTCAAATTGTTAACTCATTTACCACACACTGTCTAACAGGATTTCATCCATATACTCTTCTATGATCTACTCTTAACTCTGAAAATTAGCAGCCCTTACATTTACAGCATGCCTAAGTTCTTTTAATCATACCATGAAATTGAACTTAAATATTTATAACAACAGACTCTTTAATCAAACATGTGCCTAGGAGATCACTCCCCTCTATCCACCAACAAGGAATTGTTGAGACCCATTCACGGGAAAAACACTTTTTAAGTCATTGCTTCCTCCCTCTGGACCAATTTACCAGACCAAATGGGAACTACAGCACGCCTAAGTTCTTTTTTAAAAGACCAGATAAATAAATATAATTATAAAATAAAAAGGTCCCAACTCTACTCTCAATAGAGTAGAGTTAAGACCTTTTTATTTAGTTAATTCTTTATTTAGTTGTTTTTTCTTTAAGAATTTCTCACCTTTGATTTGTTTCTATATTAACAAATGGCAAACTTATGATATAATTGTTATAAGCACTTCATTGGTTAATGATAGAAATACTGCTATAGAAATAGTGATCATTATCCATGTTGACAACCAGATAGGCCCCAAATTAAAATGACCCACCATCAATGGATTAATTTTCAAAATGGCTACTAATTATCAAACAGTATTCCATTCAAGAACTCATCTAAAAAGGTCTTGACAGAAGCATAACAAAATAATAATTATTCCTAAGAAAATGCATTATTCCTTAGTTGATTCTAAACATTACACAGATGATAATGGTTGTGTGGCTAAAACATGTTTGAAGAATTCAAAACATTATATAATTTTCAGAGGATCCCATTCATGTTTAAAAAATTGTCCAACCTTAAAACACAAGAATTACTTTTTTTAAAACTCTGGTTGATGTTTTTCACATACCCTCCTTTCATTTTAGAAATGGCCTTGAAGTAGCTCTTAAAGAGATCAGACTCGTGTTCCATTACTTCACGATGCTGGATAGGTTTATCATCCAACTGAGGAAGGAAAATTGATAATATTACCTACACAACAACATGAAATGCCAGATCAAAGAAATGATGGTTCACTATCTGTTATTTAAATGTAAATGGTATTCCTTCACTACTAATTTTGTGGCTAAGCTGAATTTGGTGATGATATAGTAGTACTACTTTCCAGAGATGAGCTACATTTCCAGTAAAGTTGAAATAAATACATCTTTCAAGGATATAACCCAACTGATATTCCCCACCTTCAAAGCTTTACATCTACAACAATAACAGAATTTGTTAAAATTTTTTACTCAATTTACTCCTGCAGCTGATATTTTTACTCAGTAGGGGCTACTGTATGTTATTCATTCTGAAATTGATGCACACACAACAAAAACACTCATCTCTAGTTCTCAAACTAGAGAACCTTTTAAAAGATAAATTTTCCTGACTAGTTAATCCTGTGAATCTGGGATCTCAGTGATTTTTTTCAATGCAGGAAGATTCAATTCCTCTATATCTAGGCAGTGAAAAATTGAGATGAACATAAAACAATTAGAAGGCATTTATTGATCCTCACATAAGTGTCAAGTTCAACTGTTTTATATGCAGCTGTTCCATACTCATCCTGGGTGGAGTACTTGCCAATATAAAAGTGAACATCATGGTCAAGCTCCTGATAAATCATAACAACATTAGTAAAAATTGGATACCTTTGTAACCTGGGCAGAGTTTGATTAACAGCCCTTAAGCTTCTTGGGGATCGGACTGTAAGGACCTACAAATGTGTATGCAAATCTTGTGACAAAAAAGTTATAGTTCTAAATAATAAAACAACCTGGGAAAACTCAAAAGGCTGGCAAGATATTAGTGTTGTTCAGAAGTGAAGGACCCCAACATCAGATAAAGCAAAACTATCTGCACCCCTTTCCTGCAGTGCTCAAAATTTAATGGACAGATTCAACCAGCCAGCTCATAAAAAGAAAGTTGAGCAAGTCAGATGCACAACACAAGTAAGATCTGCCTCAACAAAAATGGAAAGACAGGCAACCTCAAGTTGTTTTTTTATTTGGTGCACTTAAGACATGGGGTTTTCTGACAGGCAATCAAGGACTCGTTGGCGCAACAAAATTCTTACTTTGATGGCTGGGCTTTTAAATAGGGACAAACTGACTTTATCCTCAGTTTCAAGCACTGTTTGTTAATCATAAACCATATTCCCAGATGAGCTAGCTACTTTCAACTGGGATCACTTCTTACATTCTCTCAAACTCAATATTTGATGCACAAGTGATATAGTGAGGAGAAATTACATACTTGTCACTCCTATAAGGCCTAGAGGCCGTGGTGGTGGAAAACCCTCACTGCTAACTATTGGCATGATTCCATCTTGCCATTTACAAGGAGTTAAACTGACCAATGATATATAAAAGATATATTTCTAAAAAAAAATTTTGCACCAGCCGAATTCTCTGACCTCACTACTGGGATCCTTTTTGTATGTGTTTAGAATGATGTATGAGTCTCCCTCAAAAAATTTCCCATAATCCTCCGTAGGCCAATCTTCTACCTGTGGATACAAAAGTCACATTTTAAAATACAAATGCACAAAAAGGCAAAATGCAGTCTGATCAATAGCATATTGTCATAGAACTTTACATGACAATGTAATTCACCTGAACTGTCAAAGGAAATTAATAGATTTAAGAACAAAACTTTTTTATAGACTGTTAGTCTTGTTTTCGAGTGAACTGAAATTAATATTGTTGAATAATACTCAAGACAAAGAGCTGAAAATATGCTTTGATAAAATTGTCCAGGCTTTTATCTTAGGAAAATCCTAATCTCTTTTATTTCTTTGCTTCCAACCTATCACACATCAGAGAACAGAGACATAGAGAGTTGTCACATATAAATGTTCCAGTACTTTTGGTAGGGTTTGAAACAGGAGGCTGGGAGAGTTAAGTAAATACATTGAAGAATAGTGAGCACTGCACACACAAGCCTCTGGGAGTGGGTGGAGGGGGGGAGGGTTAAGGGCACACAAAAGAAAAGTATATGAAATGTCACTTGCAATTAAAAGCTGTCAGCTGATAATCCTCAACTTATGCAATTAAATATCTGATTGAAATATAACACTTTCATTCCTTTCCACCCTTTGTAGTTTGTTTGAACTAGTGGACAAACTATTTCTTTTCCTTGCAAAGAGACCAAATTATTGTCCAGTGAACAAGTTCCTGGTTAGTAAAAGCCAGTCATATGATGAAGATTTTCTATTGTTTGTGATAGAGAATGGTAGAAGCTTCATGGAATTGTTTGTGCCATTCAGAATTAAATTTCTGTCATGGCTTATATCTCTTTCTTTGGAATCTTGAAATCCAGCCATTTTGAAATTTAGCCACAGTGCAACAATAACTTGGCACAGGGTGATGATAGCAAGACACAAGGCAATCCTGGCTCAATCAGAGTGCATGTTTCTCTATAACCACCTGAACAATTAACAATTCAAAATTGCTGTGAAAAAAATATCTTAGCAAAATTCCAAATGGAAAATCAATTTAAAACAAATACAGCCATTATGTGGAATGAAGAGCTAGAACATTACTATCAATATTACAATATTAATGACTCATTTTAATTAATAGCTCAGGAAAGTTCTTAGTAGGAAAAATGAGGTTTGATGGAAAAATGTTTGGATAGTCACACAAAAATTGCTTTTAGTGTCATAACTTGCATCCCTATACTTCTTTTCGAAAAGCAGAAAATCTTCCTTTTGCCTCTTTTTCACTTCCATTTCTCTCCCACATTGGTCTTGCAGGTTGAAACTACATATGTCCATTAAACTCATCCAGAGTTCGTAATATGTTTAATATTGTCATCATGAAAAAAAAGTTACTACGTGAAAGCAAACATTTCTTACCCAGAACATTCTTAGCTATATCCTTAGCTATTCGATCACTATGAATGCTTCAGCTTTAGCACCATATAAGGTAAAAACTCGACAGCTCAAATAAAGTCGAATTATCCCTCAGATTACAGAGGTCAAAATATCGCATGAATTTAAGATTTACGTTTGATTGCACAGATACAGTAATAATAACTACTGCATCATTGTTTGATGGATAAAAAGTATTATCAAGATTGATTTGTGCATCACGCGAAGGTGTATTTAACAGAAACATTTCCAGCTGAGATTTGACGTTAACTGTATACATGAAAATACTCCAAATACACGAGAAAATGACCAAAGAACGTAAACTAAGCTTAGCGCTCACCTTGAATTTGACAATTCTCCAGATCTTTAATTCAACTTTTTCACCACAACCCTTCCAAGCTTTTTCCGTCATTGCTGAACTTTTCTTGACCTACCAATGGATAGTGCAAAAATATTTATTGGAGAAAAAAATCTCGCAAGCCTTCAGCAAATTACATACTTACGCTGATAGACCATCGCACCCAATGATATATTTCATGTATACATATATTTTTCATTCGATTTCAACTCATTTCACGAAATGCTTCTCTTGTTATTTGTTCTCAACATTGTGATCTGTGACTATTGGCTTTTAGGGACGTTTTACAGCATTAGAAAGTCAAGTTGCAGATAAGCCTAATTTGCAACTTAAGCATGTTTTCCACTGTTTGCATTTGTCATGGTTGAAATAAAACTGCATCATTTCTGCGGCGTATCTCTTCTCTGTCGACGGTTGGGCAAGTTAAGTGAACTTTCAACGAGACATCTATCGTTTGTCTATTGCTACAAATTTAAAAGACAAGGGCAACTCCGGCGGAGCGCTGACATTTAAAAATCTTACATTTTTCTCGACGTCTGAGCCGAACAAAGCCAAGTTTGAGTCCTTCCAATCATACTTTTTAGCCTTCACAAGTCCTGCCATACTGAACAACACCTAAGTCTCCAAATTTAGAGAAACTAGAGCCTAGCGCAAATAAAGGAGTTCCCTTCGCTCCAAAGTGCCAAGACTGTAATTTCAAGCACAGTTATTGGTCGACGCCATGCTAATGTTGATCTTTGCATAAATATTATAATTCCATATTCTGTTAATCATTAACATATCTACTTGTCACGGTCACACCACAGTAAACCCAGATATGAAAAAACTGAATCAATTTCGAATGTAATTTTGGTGCGAATTTAAATAAAAATTTATTGATCGACTGTGACCAAACAGCTGTGAAACATTTATATGAATAAACTGACAATATGCAAACAGGACTACCACTGATGCTTCAACTGTTATCGACGTAAGTTCTTTGAAACGAACATAACAGGTCTGTTTTAAACTATTAATGTTAAAATATTAAGATTAAAAAATGCAAAAAATTGAAATTTTAAAAACCAGACCATCATAGCTCATTGGAGTGCATCACTGGAATATTCACTACCAAGTACATATAAAATTTGCACTGTTTTGGGTGCTGAAGTATACTCAAATATTACGTTTGTTCCTGTAAGTAACATTAATCAAGAAAAAAAAGCATACTTTAATGAAAATTCAAACGAAAACTTTCATTGCATCGTACCGGTTGAAAGTTGGAGGTTTGTTTAGATCAATCGTCGGAGACATATTTTTTTTCTTTGCGAAGTTTTTTTTTTTTTTAAGTTCTATAACAGTGGTAGGTATTAAAATGGAGTTTGAATACATTGTAATATCTTATTTCTGGAGAAGCTCCCTAGGAGAATTTACACTGGCCCCACCCCCTCTCCCATATACGTCTGATCTTCATTTGACCACATCGTTCCCGGAAGGTAGGCAGGGAGGCAGGAGGTGGACCCGGTATTTCTGTAGATTTACTCAAGAAAATTTGAGGATCAGTTGTTATAAGCGTCTCCACCAGTGAAAGAATTTTGAAATACAGTAACTGCTGCATGGTCCAAAGAAAGTTTCAAAGAAGAAATAAGACGAGAATCAAGTATTAGAAGCAACTTGCTTAGCGTACATTTCATAAATCACTAGCCGTGAAAATCGTTCAGTGTGTACACATTTTAATATTTGTTTACTAAGACGACTGAGCAGTACCGCCGGAAAAGACAGGCTGATCCGCACAAGAACTGTTTCGTGACTCGAATCTGAAGTTTGCTAAGCCGTGTGACCCTGCAGAACAGGCGTTATTTCTTTTTGTTTCCAGACGGGCAGACGTATAGACTAGTGGGGGTAGCCTGCAGAACAGGCATTTCTTTTTCCCTTTTTTTTAAGTGAGCGGAGTTGAGCGCGATAGGCAGGACACCCGCGAGGGTACCAAATTTAGGTCCAACTGATTGGCGGTGAAAGGTCTGTGCAGGAGACTAAAAGGAGATTACTGGGCAATCAACGTGACACCAGTCATTAATCGAGGCTTAGAGAAAGTTGTCTACAGGCTTTACGCCCCGAAAATTGTAGAAGACAGCTTCAGCAACTGACAGTTCCACTGAGTACAGGAAGGGTAGTTCATGTAGCGTATAGTCTGCAAGTTCCTTGATGATCGGATGGCTGTTTGAATGTTTACGACGAACTTAATCAAGGCCTTTGATTCTGTAAGCCACCTACTCCTCGCAAACAAACTTAAAGACTTCCCTCTAAATCCTTACGTTGTCATTTGGTGATTGAATTTTCTACAGGGCAGAATGCAAAGGGCGGTACATAAAGAGACTTGGACCTAACAAGCTCTATGCATAGCAAGGTGCTTGAATTTCTTCAGATTATCTTTTTTTTTCCAAACCGTGGAAAAGCCGGGAAAATTAATTACATTTTCTTTCGACTTTCTCGAAAATGAAAGATCGAGAAGAACCAAGTTTCTAAAACTCACAGTTCAAAACCAAAGGACTAATGAAACTGAAAAGGTTATTGCAAAATTACTCAAAGAGATGTTTACAAATAACAAAAATCGGATACAATGTGGAGATACCTGATAATTTTAGTTAGCCTCCCTAACAATACTAATATTAAAGTAAAAAAAAAAATAATGATTATGAAGACAGTTGTTATTGATAATGATGATGATGATATTTACAATGATAAAGAGAAGAAGAAAAGAATTACTTGTCCACAGCGAGCGCTAAAGCTCCTTCATAGCGGAGAAAAAAGGTAACTTTATTGCAGTTCGGCATGTCATCACTCTATCCTGATCTAGCGCGATCATTTGCTATTGAATAATTCGGTACATCGGTGACTTTATATTTAAGATACAACGCCCATCGAGCCTAAATTTACTTTGTTTCAATGAACCGTGAAGTGTTTAAGGTTGTTGTTGAGACAAGAGCCTTCCTGAAGGGAAACCGAAGCACAGTGTTGTGAGACAAATCCTTAAAAACTGTTTGCTGTACACTTATACCGTCTTGTACTTAGCCGTATCGTAGTTGATCTTTGGTGATGTTTTTCTCTACTTCTATATCAAACCATCAGTATTCTTTCGAATGATTTCGATTCTACAACAGAGAAGGGAATCATCGAACCGAAGAACGAAATCAACCTCAACTGTGACCAACCCGCTACTATAATACTGAATGCCAGCAAAAATGGTTCGTAAGATCCAAAAAGAATGATCTCAACACGCCTACGGTGGAAAAATGTTGGGTTGCGGGATGGCTAACATATTTCCGCGTCAAAATTAGGTCGCTTCGTAGTTGAAATGATAACTGCGGAGGCTTCACATCAGACAATAAGATGTTTTTTTAATCTCAACACAACAATCAGTCAGCGCTGCATGTCTGCATTGAGTATTGTTTTATAGTGCTATATTTAAAACAAAGTTTGGTCATAATGTAAATATGTGAAATTAAACCCTCTGGTTAGCTTGATTTATAATAAAGTCAGGCAAAGGTTTCATGTGGTAAACACTTCTCTCTTTTCCTCTCCCAGTAGTAGACCCTTTGAATAACCAGAGCATAAAACATTTCAAGAGATGCTCTTTTAAGAGCTCTTAATTTCAGTGTTTAAAACAAAACTGTCAGCTCAATGCTGGTCATAAATATGCGTTTTGGCAGCAGCATGCAGGTGGCATGAATTGTTTAAATGTTATATCTGAACCTGCTACTTGTCTTATGGCCTTCAGCAAAAATGTTTCAGATACCCTAAACAACATTCTTCACAAGAAGTTTAAAAGACCACAACAAGGGCAGGAGTTTCCGTTACCAATTTACGTCAACAGTGAGAATTATCGTTCATAATCAAGAACTATGCGGGGTTTAAAACCATCATGTCTTCATCGCAGTTTCGAAATCCCAGGTCTCTCTTAACACTTACTTGTCTCTCAGTGTCACTTCCAAAATATTCCAAGTTTGTTTCTTGCCAACAACGCTTCTTTGGTTTGACGAGCCCCGCCATTATATTGCTGAGAGCAATTTCTTCCTGTTATAGTATCGACCGTTTGAAGAATGTCAGAGTACTTTTGACGTTCGCTGTTGTTCTCAGCTGTAATTCGAAATAGATCTGTTTTAAATACCTTAATTTAGTCGATCCATCGCCATTGTGATTGGTCTATGGAGGGTATAAATAAATCATGACACTTCAGGGTATCTTCACACTTGGGTTTGCGCATATTTCATATTTCCTACTTCTACTCGGCGATCATTTGACGTAAGTGTAAATTATATCTCTCACAAACAAACCTGTCGATCTCTCGGATTTTCAAATTGTGTTTTTGTCAAACACCATTAGCCTGGTTTGCTCTGAGTTCATTCGGTTTGCTTGGCAACCGAGGTTGATAGTGCAGTTAACGAATTGCGAGTTTTTAAACACAAAGTCAGAAAACTGTAATCACACAATTAGAAAGCGAGCTGAGCTGATATGAGATGGAGTACAAGCAAACCTAGTCTGCTCGTTAAATAAATTAATTCCCTTACAAAATAGCCGTCAGTACGGAACCACTTATTATCTATCACCTGGAAGCCTTCCGCTGAAGGATTTTTAAGGGGATCACGTAATTTTCAGGAGGAATGGGGGATCAACTGTCGTCGCCGACAGAGTAGAATGGGGGGCTATGGGAAATTAACTGTTTATTAACCGCCATTGAGAGGGGGGTTACAAACAATATTACAAAGGGGGGAAATCAGGTAAATTTTATCGCGATATAATCAAAATCCTTCCAGGAAGGGAATGGACTTTGGGAAAGAGGTCGAGAATGATTACAAAGTGAGAGTCCTGTTTCTATCCTGACCAGTATTAGATCCGCCTTCGTTCATTTTTTTACTTCCAAATTAAGAAAAATTTCAGTTTCTAGGCGAGAATAAAGTGGACAACCAATATAGCAAATTTCATGTAAAGTTCTTGTATATGAATTCTAATCACATGCAAACCGCAGACGGCATTGTTCTCCCAGCTGGGGGCGTGGAGATTTTGTACGAATCCAGTAAGAAAACTGCGCATGCAATATTAGACATGACGAAGAAGTATTGTGGGCTGTGTACAGTGTAGTTATCGACTTTTTATGCTACGGACAGGCGATCCTCCTTTTTAGTGACCACCAAGTAGTAGTACAAGCTAAATCAACGCAGTCAGGAGTTTTAAGCAAGGAGGGCCATTTGGACCTGGGCCGCATACGTTAGCGGATCTAGACCGGGGGTCCAAACCAAGGGGGTCTAAATCCGCTAGGATACCCGCAAAATTCATAGTAAGCTGATGTACCATGGTGTGGAATGTCTTCCCTTAGTCTCCCGAGTTGAGAGATTGAAGAAAAAGTGAAACACTAATGAGCATGGCAAGGGTTCCCGTTTACAGTTCAATAACAAAGCTTTGGAAATTAAGCCTCCCAGAACAGTGATCTTTTGACAGTCAGTCTAAACCGGCATACACGAAAATCCTGTTCCATCGCAACCTCTCCAACAAATTCGTGGGACCGTGGGGTTGTCAAACTTCTCTTGATTTGTGGAGATTTTATGCGAGAAGAAAGTTTAATGGTGTTTTCACTCTTCGTCTCAGTTACGGCTAAGAGACCGGAATAACTTTTTTCCTTGTCACGTCTGAACCGTCAGGGAGAAAAATTAAGTTTCGTTAATGCACTACAAGACTTCAGCCCACACTGTAATTTTATTTCGTTTCTAAATACCACTTTACACAAAGTAGTTGACAGCAATAAATCACCGAAAAGCCCACAGCTACACTTATGGAATACAATGTAGCTTTCTAACGGCAGTTAAGGTCATTTCAACAAAATGAGGATTTAATACAAAATTACCCAAAAACTATAAAACTTACGAAAACTCTCGCATTCACTTTTTAATTAGAAAAGATGCAATCCATGAACATATTATGCGATAGTTTGGCTGCCATTAAGTCCTTGAAAGTGTGCTGAAGACGAAACAGATAAAGCACTTATAAATAACTTGAAATCAAGGGAAAAAGATACGACAATGAAGGGATAGAGTAAATATCCCTCAAGTGTCGTTAGTAAGCTTTCCAATGTGTTGGGTTTTTTTTTTTTCAATAAACTCTGTGATTGCTTCTAAAATATTGCGCCACCCAGTTGAAAATACCAGACAGTGCGCCGGAAGGATGATTTTTGTTTATTACTGTCAATTATTATTGCCTTCATCAAGTTTTCCTTTACTCTGACTGGCCATTGTGGTCAATTTGGTTTTTTGGTTTAACGATACTCAAAGGATATCGCATTAATGCTACTGCATTGAATACCAGACAAATTCAACAGCTCACTTCGAACCCAGGAATTTTGGTTTGTTTTAATTTGCCTCTTGCGACGCCAAAGAACCAATCGACTGAGCTATATAACCAACAGCAGGATCTGCTAATAAGCGAATAAGAGTCGACCTTATATGTGTGCAGGCGAAAAGAAACGCTGAAGAAATGCCATCCTTCAATGCATTTTATATTACAAACAAACGAACAAAGAAAAGAGTAGCCTATGCTGATGCCGATGTTCTTCACGATCCAACAATGAATAGTGGTTTAAATTCCTCAAAAGTCATTGCTTAGAGATTGAGGCCCCTATTAGGGGTTATCGGAATACGAGATACTTGAGGCGAAAATTAACAGGATACAAGATATCAAAGATAAAAATTGGAGAAAATCGAACTGGAATTATAGGGATAAAAACCAACGAAATTAACGGAATACGGGATATTTATACAACCATAACTATGATACAACTGGAGAGGTCTGTGGACGAAACTAGTTTTGTAGTAGGCGTCTTTTAAAGTGCATTGGAAGTTAATTTTAATGAGGTTTTGTTTTCAATATGATAATGAATGATGCTTTCTCAGCTTCGACAATCAAAATTTCGCAAAAAGGCATATTTAGGCAAAAAAGCAATAGGATACAGGATACTTGACCATTTCCCCGTCCCCCCTCCCCGTCTTTGTAGGGCATATGTCCCACGGGTTAAAGGGGCCACGCAACTCTAAAAACATGCAAACAAACAATCAATGAATGAATAACGCCCGAAGCATTGTTTCAACATTGACGTATATTCCGACTTACCTTGCCACTTCAGAACAAAGCATCAAATCTTGGACATTTTTGGCCCTCTTTCACAACAGATACTGGAATGAGGGGTTGTTTGCTCGCCATCAAGTAGCCCTGGGCAAAATATAAGTTAACATCAGATTATTGGTAGTCTCCTTCGCAGCCGTTGTTTGAGCTCGTCACGCAACGCTCCCTCCTCCACCAACATGGGGGAGGGAGCGTTGCGTGACGAGCCCAAACAACGGCTGCGAAGGAGACTAGGTTATTGGGCAATCCTGATTTTTTACGTTTCACCTCATCTAGCCGAAGAAAGTGTAGAAACAACAGTGACCGACCCACATAAACTACTAAAAGCAACATGCAACGAACTTGGAAAACAAAGTTAGAGTTGGTGCTCCAAATATTTTTCTAGCACCACCTCTCTCTAAAGTCGAAGTTATCGTCGTGTATCAGCTGATTTGTGGGTTACTGTCCGATTAAACAGCAAGGGTGTTTGACATGGCTAGATAAAAGCTGCCCTTTAATCAATCTCCAAAATCGACAGAGCGAGACAAATCAAATGAAATGAACAAATGAATTTAAAAGTAAGTGACTTGGCAGCAGATAAGCTAATGAGTAAGAAAAATACAACAACTACGCTTTCATCGCTACACGCCTGTTTCGTGTTTGCTCACTCATCAAATAAATCCCCTGATAAGTGAGCAATCACGAAACAGGCTTGTAGGGATTAAAGCGTAAAAGTTGTATTTTTCTAAGATCAACAAATATTACGCTCTACTTTTATGCATGGCTTAGACGATACCACAAGTGTAGGATCGTTCGGGGACCCATATCGGTTTTCCCTAATCCTAGCATCAGCACTGCACTGATGAGGCCCAGAAGGCCGAAACAGTACTGTCTGCAGTTAGTTAGTTATATATATACACACACACACACAAGTCGCAGAGTGCTGCACACTCGTGGAGCTATATAATTAATTAAATGACAGAACTATTTTGAAAGGGCCTGCTGGTCCTCTTTAGTCAGGTGCACGAAACACGGACCAATTGAGGTAATATGTATGGGTTGATGGTTCAAGTGCACTTTATCAAGTATGTGGTTGCATGCCGGCACTCACTCAAACTTCATCAATTTGGCAAGTGCATGCTGGCATGCAAGCATCCCTCCTACAGACAGACAGACAGACACACACTTCATGAACATATGAAGTCAAAAATATAGGAAGTTTTAATTGGATAAGAAAACCTACTTACATGTGCATACTGCATTGCTTTAAGCCGCTCATCAACACTGGCCTCTTTTCCAACCCAGACAAAACATTCTTTGCCATTGTCTACAATAAACACTGCAGGCAAATGAACAAACAAATGTAACATACAGTCACCAGTTTTACTTTCAAAAGAAATCAACAATTCTTTTTTGAAACTTGAGCAGTACACTAAGACGGTCAAGTCAAATTCAAAATGAAAGGGGAAAACAACAAAAAAAAAAAAACTTGAAACTAAAATAATAATTATGAGACATTACTTAAATACAGCAATTGTTTCTGGGTAGAAATGGGAATTAGGAGTGTTGATTTTGTGAGGGAGAGAGAAACTACAAACTTGAAGCACAGGTGAACCCTGGTTGAATATCAAACCCAAGCCAATGCAGTAAGAGGTAATACGTTCCCTTGTCATGGCACCAAGATTGTTACAGTACTGTAAACAAGTTGACTTCACTCCTATTTTTTTTTGTGCTAGGGGGGGGGGGTGGGGATGAGGATGGAGTTTAGTCTCACCATCTTTGCTGTCCAGCACTGACTTGCTGAACCCAGAAGTATCAGAAAGTTCCAGACGACCACTGGCATCACTTATTTTCTTAATGGTGGGTTCAAAATCATCGTCTACTGGATCCTATCAATATAATGAGCATTAAGATTGGTGATAATAATACAAAAAGAAAACACTAAAATGCAGATCATGACAATTCCAAAACTAAATGTTACTGTCTTTGCGGTAAAAAGCATTATTTTCAGTTAAAATGGCTGGAAACAGTTTTCCCAAACACCTGCAGACTATATATAAAGCCCTCAAAAACCAACCATCACTCTTAACAGTCAGACCAAGTTCACTCTTAACAGACAGACCAAGTTCACACATGTGTTGACCAAAGGATTGAAGTTTGAAATAATAGGTGTGACATAGCAATTGCTACTATCATGCTAATGTTATTACATTAAACACTTTCTTAGGGGGATGGTCTCAGAAATTTCTCAATAAAATTTCTCAAAACTTCAGGATTTTCTTTCCGATGAGGCCTCCCCGCTGAGTGAAAGAACCATGTTCGTCTGATTTATTTCTCCTACTCTAACATACCAAGCCAATGATCCATAAAGAAATTCATATTATGTTTATAAAAAGTTGAAAAATCTGGATAATCGACCATATTTGTAATGGTAATAGGACCAAGCAGAGTCCAATTCAGTCGGTAATCAACAAGTGATTAACGAAATCAAACGACTGTCAAGCAGGAGTCCGATTTGTTAATCATGAGTATGATTACAGACTGAATTGGATGACACAAAGTTCTGTTACCAATTAATTATAACCATTGCAATTTCAGAAAGAAAAAAGGAAAAAAAAGGAGGAAATATTTCCAGTAGAGACAATGTCTAAAGTAAAAAATTCCTTCATTTTGGAAATTCCCCAGATTATAGGTGTCCGATTATAGCCAACTGTCTGATTACAACTCTGCAGAATAATAAGTGAAAAAAAAAAAGCACCTGATGCAGTAATCACATTTGAGTAAATTGTAATGGTTATGTTTAAGACTATAATTTCACAAAGAGACAGGTAGAATATAAAACTTCAGCTGATTTTGCAATATTCTTATCAGACTAAGCTTTAACCTCAGTATCTGGATCACCAGAGGGAAGTCCTCCAAAGCCTCCCTCTATAATAAAAAAAACAAGTATGCAAAATTAAGCAGTATTCATAGTTCATTGTTGTTAAGTTATTATTAATTAAAAGTACTTTGATCTCTGTGTATAATTACCGGTAACTAAATTCAAACTGGTGTACAACTGCTTTAATTTGGTTTTCTCTCTTAACTTCAATTAACTTGAATTTTTTGCATTTTCACTAACATGTAAAGTCAGACATGTAAATTAAGTGAGGCCAAGTATTTGCTATGATAATTTAGTTTTTCTAAAATTTTGCCAATCTACGGGATCATCAGGGATGATGCTGTAGATCGATGAAAACTTAGAAAAGTAAATTATTGTAGCATACCTGGCCTCAGTTGATTTACATGTCTGACTTTATAACACCATGCTACTTAAGGATAACATCCAATGCTTGATTCACTAACATATGTTATAAGAAACTTGGGGCTAGGACAAAACACTGACCCCGGGCCAACTGACCCCCCTTACTGACCCCCTCTTAAATTCACTGGAAATCATGAATAAAAGCTAACGATAACAACCTAACTATACAAAATTATGATATAATAAGATAAATGGTCATGACTAATAGACTTACAAGGTAATACGCAATTTTTAACAAACGAAGGAAAAGACATCGCCATATATTAGAAAACAAGAATACCCTGGGGATGAGATTGAAGACAATTGGTATTGGGAATTAGAGCATGACCTGGTACTACCAAAACACTTCAAACTTCCGGTTTCTCTCGCTTTGGTTGAAGAAAAACAATCCTTTTCAATGGAAACACATACAACCCAGTACACAATGTTTCCACACATTTGCCACTCGTTTATGAGTGTAGGAGAACCTAACAATTGTGGTAAAACAAGTTTGGACAATGGCAGACTATAGGCATTAAACAGATTGACCATCTTCTGCCATTTTGGAATTTAAGAGGTGAGTGTATTATAATATCGTAAGTTTGTATCATTAGGTTGTTATCGTTAGCTTCAATTCACGATTTTCAGTGAATTTATGAGGGGGTCAGTAAGGGGGGTCAGTTGACCTGAGGTCAGTGTTTTGTCCTACCCAGAAACTTGTATATAGTTTGTATCCCACACAAAATGCATTTTAGTGTTGTATAGATGTGCTTTTGATCAACATGAAAATTTGTGACTTCAAATAGTAGCATTTTTTACTTTTAAGGTGTCAAAAGTTTCTTTCCTTCATATGGCAGTTGCATTTCTGCAACTTGAAATAGGTTGCTTGCGACATTTTCCAGAGAAAAGTGGAGATAGCCTTTTTGTTTGTGGACATTTCTGACCTTTTTTTCTGCAGATTTGAAGGTCAACTTGCATTTATTGTTCCCTCAAGTTGTAATTTTTTTCAATTAAATATATATACCTCACCTTTAGTTTCCACTTTTACCTTGCCTCTTTCACTCTGCCATAACAATAAAATTTCATTAAAAAGCTGATCTGTGTTCTAGAGCCTTATTCTTATAAAAGTTACAACAATTTAAAAAAAAAACTAATTTACATGAAATGTTTTCTCCTCAACAGGTGGTTTACGTTTTGTAGTCCTAGGACTGAAGTCTTTTCTTTTGACTAGCAAAACAATGTCCATCCATTGAAACTGTAAGGATCAAAGTACTACATACTCTGGAACAATGCTTCAGGGAATAATGGATATTTGTTGGCCCACTGAAGCATTGGAACCCTACCCATCAGAGCTCTGCTGTTGTATTTCTAGTTATGATTATTTCCTTTTACTTGGCAGTGAGATGACATTGGGGTTGAATTTCTCCAGAATCTGCTATATCTGATATATTTTATTGCCCACATCAATGTCCCCATATCTTTCAAGACGAGTAATGTTGACTGTGGGAATGTCATATCTGCTCTCATGTTTTGGCACTAAAATGCAGTAAATGCAAGTTATGTTATTGATGATAGCTTTTATTGATAATCAGTCCTTATATCATTTTGTTAAGTTTTCACCTTCAAATTCTGGCAAAACTGGGCAGCTTTGAATCTCTCATCTTTGTCACTGCCTGAACCATTTATCTGCAAAACAATGAAGTGACACCATTTGTATAATAGACTTCTTCCTGTATTGATCGAATAAATTAACCAAAATAAGCTTTGCTTATGCACTTAAAAATCCTAAAGTTTGCAAGAAAAGTAGGCCAGGATGGAAAGCTCTGCAAATGAATCGTGTATTCTGATTTGCTACTTGAGCAGGCAAGGTGGGGCTTGCCTGCTTGTTACCCTTTAAATGACTTAAAAAGAAAGATTTTGTACATAGCCTGTTTAACTTTTTTGTAACCTCTGGGAAACTACAAACTGTACAAGAAAATTTTGTGTGATCAGCAGAGTTTCTAATGTAAATTGGCCTCCATAAGGAGTTCATAAAGCTGATGTACTGAGCATCAGCCCTTTGTTAGAGTAAAAGAGAAGAGCTAACACTCCTATAATCATTAAGCATTGTCTCTAGATATTGCAGTGCTCAGTGGTTCAAATTTTTTCATTTCAACAATTTCAAAACTTGCCAGTCTAAAACAATTAAGGCAAGGTGCTTTCAAGTAAATAATATAATTTTAAAATAATTGAATACTCAATACAATTAAATCAACATTATTTTGCCCTAACAATTGTATCTATTACGTAAATTACCTGATAAACTTCTTCACCATTGTCAATGACGTAGACATTGTCTGGAGTAATGCTTTCCTTACAATATGCCACCTCGGTTATTTTGACCTTGTTTCTGCCCTTCAAACAAATCATCCAAAGGCCACTCAAAACATGTACATCTCTGGATATTCAAGCACTATATATTATACAAATTATACAAATTTAAAGAGGCTGACTAAGTCTCATTACTATAAATGGTAATTCAATAATACCTTCTTCAGCCATTAAACACAAACTCATGTTTCATTCAGAACAAAAAAGAAGAGAGTCTTAAATACATTCTCCACATGATGCTTTTCAGGGCCAATAAAGGCAACCAGGGGACAAACACTTACTCAAATATAAAGTGGTGAACCAGATGGCTATTTATAGCACTGACCCAGGGAGTTGAACACAGGGCTATTTAGAACAAATCCAGAAAGTTGCAACATGGGACGGCCTTATATGCATCCACTGCTGCCCGATGAGAGGTACTGAAACCTTCACCACACAGTCACAGAACAAACTTAAGTTAAAGTTAGAGTTCTTTGTAAAATTGTGTCTTCATAATACAAAGTACATCTGCAGAAGTTTGTTTACCTCATCATTAAACTTCAACAAGCGAGGCTTGTACTCTTTAGGTCCAACACGTCTAAAGCCAGAGTCAGCCCTACAGAAAAATATAGCCATGCATCATAATGGTTATCATAAACATTATCTGTTCAGAGAAGGACTGAAAAAAAAACCCTCAAGAAAAATCGTATATTACTTTGTATTGACTGGGGTCAGCAATATTATTTTAATTAACTAGTGTTTTTTTAATTATGTTCATAAATTGTTATATTGTTCTGCACTTAAGGAAGTTGAAGTAGCTTTTCTGCTAGGTAGTTTGAGTACAAGGGATCTTGCATTTAGTGCTTGTAAAAACTATGTATCATAGTTGTCTTAATTTGTTCAAATGAGCAATTAATTTCCTTATAATCTGTCTCTTGTATATAAATATATATAGAAGAAGTAATGTGGCACACAAGGACAGACAACTTTGACCGAAGAAAGAAATATACTCAATAAAAAATCTAAAAAGTTTAATACGAAACGTTTCAGTCTGAGTCACCTTCATCACGGACCAAGACGCTTTCTATTAAACTTTTAGATTTTTTATTGAGTATATGTCTTCCTTCGCTCGAAGTTGTCCGTCCTCGTGTGCCGCATTACTTCCTCTATTATTTATCGAGGTTTGGACTGTGAATCCTTTTGGATCCTTCTGGTGCGGTGTCTCTGTTGGCTCGAAGCCTGTTAACTTGTTATATTATATACACCTGTAATTAAAAAGGTTTATTGCAATTTGAAAATAGATATGATATATAGATCCCTTTTCTTTGGTGATATATGATGCATGTATATTTTATATTAATGGAACAATACTTTCAGTTTTTGTTATTGGGAAGAAGTGAAACAAAGACTTTTGAAATTTTAGACAAYMRCYKKTKKWAWTTAAGTTAAATTTAAATCCGAGATTGGGCAGAATATAATCTTGGACTGGATCAAGGATCGGATAATGAAGCGGATCATGAAAGAAAAAAGTTTTGAAATGCAAAAAGATCAATTCGTCTAAAAAATAGTAAGTAATTAGGGATAATTAGTTATTAGCTTTACATACCCCCCATTTAGGAGTTGTAACTGTGGAAAGTAACTTTTAAATATGTCTGACTCATGATTCTGGACTTCACGATGCTGAATTGGCTTGTCATTGAGCTACAAAGAGAAGAAAAATATATATATTGTACGATTTCTGACAAAATTGCACTCCACTAAGTTCAATTAACATTATATACCTTACTTGCTGTCTGGCAATGCCTAAAAAAATTGGCATCATTCCTTTTTGAGTCCCAGGCAACATAAACACAAGTAAAGGGAAGGATGGCAAACATGTAATTACAAGAGATAACTTGGGTTTATAATTGTTCTTTGATCAATTCACTGTCAGTAATTTTATATAAAGAAATTAACTCAAACTTACAAATGTGTCAAGTTCAACTGTCTTATAAGCAGCTGTTCCATATTCATCCTGGGTGGATCCTGCACCAATCCAGAAGTGAACATCATACAAAAGCTTCAAAATACAAATAGCAAGTAACACTTATGAGGCATCCAGGTAATCTTACATTTCCTACCAAAGTGAATGACTGCCTCATGTCAGTTTTCATACCTCATCACTTTCTTTGTCCTTGTAGGTGTTGAGAATAATGTAGCTGTCTCCATTATAGAATTTGCCATAATCCTCTTTAGGCCAGTGAGTGACCTTTAAAACACAATTCATCATGACATGTCACACGAGTCATGCTTGAACATTTTACATTTTTTGATCATTATTCACAAATCTGAGTATAGTTTCTGTATTAATTTCAGATGTAATTGTGGACAGCAGAAAGATATGGGGAGAACAATATAACAGAATGTTCAGTCATAAAGTCAACAACTGCATAAACATGATGACACTACAGAAAGAGAGAGGAAAAGGAAATTATGACTATCATTATAATAGTAATATGCCACCAAGATACTGCATATTTAGTCTTTTAGGAGTTGGACATCATTATCAGAGGTGGCATATTACTATAATGATGGTCATAATTTCCTTTTCCTCTCTCTTTCTGTCCAGTTATTATGTTTATGCAGTTCTTGACTTCTTCATTTTTAGTTTTCTACCATGTGCAGTGTGATTAATTGTGACTTCAATAAATTCACAGTAACTGTAGAAGCATGGCATTTTGGTTTAAACAGCAGCCCTCAATTACCCTCTAACTGACAGTAGTAATTGTAAGTTGAATTTTTTCAAAGACTATTATTTTTGGAATATTTAAAATGCTTACATTGAAAGAGTCTATTCATACTGAGATAAGTTAGCCCAATGACCAGGGATGAATCTACAAGGCAGAACTCTATTGTAACTCAACATTTATGTGGAAGCTAGGATTTAAATTTTTCTGCAAGGATGAGCCTACCAGGTGTGACAAGTTTTCTGATCTCATATTTAATGTAGGACAAATAACTAAGTTACTGAAATAAAAAAATTGGCATGAAGAAACAAACTAGCATCAAAATCTGATTGATTGATTCCAAGCACCTTCTTCATAACACTGGGCATGATAACTATCATTTTTATTAATTGTAAGCAATTTGACATCTGCACCTCCCTTTTGAGTAAAAATTTTTAATACCTGTTTTTAGACATGTTGTGGAGGCTCTAGAGAGGTTTATTTAAATGCACATTAAACTGCCATCAGGAACACCATTGAAAGAGGTCCGCAGACAATTTCTATATTTTGACAATTCAAACTCACTTTCAACTTGGTGCTTTGACTCAGGGTGTGGGGGGGGGGGGGCAAATTCATTTGTACTGTTAACCTTTGGAAACCAATTTGTATCTGTCATCAACTGTGACAGTATAGTCTTGTTGTGGAAGCTGTCATTGTTGTGATTACTGTACACAATCTTTGCGGTCAGCCATGTTTTAAGTGGCTAAGGTGTCCCCTGAATGGAGGTTAAAACAGAGCTTTTGACCCCCAAAAACTGTCCCTTCCTGTTAAATAGAGGTGTCCCTTCAATAAAGGCGATAGATAGAAAGATTATATGAACATTTTTCAAGGACCAAAGTTTGTCTCCTGAATGGATTGTCCCCTGTACCATTTTTAAAAATTCAGGATTGCACTGCACTACAATATAGCACAGGGAACAAACTCATCACTTCCCAGCACCCTCTTGAAACACCCATCCATGCATTGCCACCGCCCATTCCACATCGGTCTTTAACACTCACTTTGCAAAGTTATGCTCAAGTAACTCTTCCTTTTTCTTCTAATTTGCATTATATAGTTTATGCTCATTGAAAAGTGAAAACAACCAAAACAAACCATTTTCTCTCAAACCTGAAACTACAATTCATAACGTTTAAGTAATTAAAAATCAGGAACATTAATAAAATTCTGTTTAGTAAACAATATGAGCATAACCGTGCAACAGTCCTGAAATATTGTACTTTGTGGCTGTTTACTGGTTCAGTGCAAGACGTCACCCCACCCAGTCTATTAACACGCCCACGTACATACCGAGCTTTCGGCAGCGTTCCAGAACAAAATTTTTACTTCGTATACGTGAGGGACTTAATTTACCAAACATTTCTTCAAATTTCTTATCTGTTTGTCTCTTTGGGTCTTCAGATCAAGATAAATTTTTGGAACTTAACTTTCCGAATTCCTGAAAACTGATCTACCAACGTTTCAACTAATTTAACTGTTTCTTGAAGGATAGATTTCGAGATATACATAACTTTTATCTCTGCTTCAAAGCGTTTATTTACCTTGAACTTGACGATACGCCAAATTTCCAAGCCAGGCTTCTCTCCAGCGCCTTCCCAGGCCTTCTCCGTAGCAGCTGATGCTTTCTTCACCTTTACGATAATGGAAAGCATAATGTTGAGAAAAGCAAAAGATACCTACAACATACTACGTGATTCCGCAAAACATTTGCAGAGATGGTGATTAAGTCATATTTGATAATGACAGCACGTTCGTGCAGCGATTTGGCAAAATTTTTAGCTCCCTCACATTTTTCTCCAGATCAGAGCCAAACAAGGCCAAGTTGCTGTCCTTCCAATCGTACTTCTTAGCTTTTACTAGGCCAGACATGATTAGAGAGAGCTTGAAATCTCAACACAACAACGACACAGCACTACTGCTCGAAGTATATGACACACCTTAATTAAAATTATTTCCTCCAAAGACCCATATCGAAACTCCTTTATGATTGGTCGAACAGAAAAAAAACATTTTTCACGCCATCTTTTCACGCATTCTGTAGTTCTATATATTTGTGGAAAGCCGGTAAACTGTGATATCTTACCCTTGGGAATTGTTCTCTAGAAGAATTGAAATCACCTGAAATGTGTTGGCACATGCATGGCTCAGTTCCTCCACGGGTGAGAGGAATTCTAAAATCCTCCAATAACTCCGTTGTTTTGTCTCGTCACGCAACGCGCGCCCTTCCCCACTTTGAAGAGAGAGCGCATTGCGTGACGAGACCAAACTGTGAAGGAGGCACTGACCGCACTGGCTCTTTAAGTTTTATTTTGGGAAGAGCTGCCAAGACGAATTTATTAACACTATATGCGCTGAAATTAGCGCGCAGCGAACCAGAAAGTGGGAAGTAAAATCTCAGTCCGACTGTCTGTTTTCCTTAGATTTCAATCTCCCAGCAGTTGATCACGGCCGAGGTAGGCCGAGGTCGTCAGGTGTTCGAATGCTGGTGCGAGCCTTTAGACAGCTGTCCATGTGACAGAGCAGCTCAGTGTTCATTGTGCCACGTTTCAGGATTAATCGAACCTTCTTAGATGAATTGTTTTCTCTGAATAATTTTTTCGACATTCATTTGATCTCCTTGGAGTAGAAACACAATTTGTTATTAATTTGATATATCAGAAATGCGTCAAAAGTGGGTGCTTGTATGTGGCGTTCTGATTACATTGGCAGTTCTTTGCGTGGCTCCGCCGGTCGTCAGAAAAGATGCAAAGAAACCAGACACTCCAGCGGAGGGGAAAGGCGATCCAGAATATGCCAGATATTTAAAACAAGTTATTGAAATTTTAGAAAAAGATGATGACTATGTTAAAAGACTGCTCAACGCTTCTGAGGATGAACTAAGAACTGGTCAGGTTGCAGAAGATTTAGATCTAGTGAAACATGATGTAAGGACCAAATTAGATGAGTTGAAGCGACAGGAAGTGGAGAGGCAGCGAATGATCAGACGACAAATGAATGATCATTTAAATGGTCTGAAGGAAAGAGAGTATTGGAATCCTGTGTTCGATGACGAAAACCCCAATTTCTTTGGCCCTGAAGACTTTAAAAAGCTCTTATTGAAGGTAAGTCGAAGTTATCAGAAATTTGTACGGCGTCCAAACATTTTATGATCTCTTTACAAAGAAGCGGAGAAATTTTTGAAAGCTGTGTTTGTAAACTTTGATGAAATATTGAAACAGAATTTCACGCGTAAACAAGCTTTAGCCGCTTTCAGAATGTATGATATTTCTAATGAAAGGAAATCACGACTTTACATTTTTCTTGACGTTTTTCAGTTACTTTCTAAAATATGATTTGTTATTGTTGGCTGGTACCAATAACAGTGAGGAATTTCCTTAGTCAGACAAAGTCATACATTTGTTTTCAGATGATTACACGGTCATTTAAGATCATTAAAAGTAATTGGAGTTTATCAAAAGCTGAGGTTGTTACAAGAGATGTTGACGGTCTTTCCGACCGTACATGTATCACAGATCTCAAGTTTTGGGAAAAAAAAATAGAAACAGTTGATCAAGAACTCTTCTCTCCACCGGTTCTCTACATGTTAATAATTCTTTCTGATTTTGAATCATCAAAATCCTTCCTTGTGTTGTCACCTTTGAGAGTATTTTGTCTTCCCGTTTTCTCTGATTAACTCAAAAAAAAAAATATTTCAACTGACAACTTGAAATCAAACAATGACCAATATCTGGTCAATTGCTTGGAATAAAGATGGGAGTTTCTAGTAACAGTAACTACACTTCTCTCATACATTCCAGACTTCCCATATATGTGCATCTATACCCTGATATAGGCATGCTGAACATGAACCAATACTCAAGTGATGTATAAGTCAAATAATCCAAAATTCACACACTTATCTGATATTTTTCTCAAGTTTGTTGGTGCTAACATCAATCTTAATAGTTGGTTAGGGAAATTTTCCCTGTCTCTGATAATTATCATGAAGCATGAGTAATTGATTCAAGGACATAACTGTTGTTGTTTTACAGCACCATGAAGAGATGGATAAACAAGATCAGCAGCGCAGAGATGAATTTAAGAAGCATGAAATGGAGAAGGAACACAAAAGGAAGGAACATTTAAAGGAGCTGGATGAAAAGGCACGCAAAGCAGAAGAAGAAAGATATGAGGCATTGAGGCAGAAACATCTTAATGCATCCAAGAATCTCCATCACCCAGTAAGTGAACATTTCAGGCATTAAAAGAGGAAGGGACTCTTGTAACAACTTAACAAAATCTTAGGCCTGGACTTTGTGATCCAGAGTCCTACTTGTTAACCATCAGTGTAATGTATCTCCTTCTTGGCTAATCTAATATTACAAGAAAACACCAAATTTTAATGGGTCTGCCTCTTGGTGGTCACATTTGCAGAAATCTGAAGTCCAGTGGTGTAAAAGCAATATAAATATTAGATGTTTTTTTAGGGAAGTAAAGCTCAACTGGAGCAAGTTTGGGAGGAAACTGATGGTCTTGATGCAAAGGACTTTGAACCAAGAACATTTTTCAAGCTTCATGGTAAGTGTTAAAAAGTGAGTTTGCTGAAATGGAATGACAAGGTCTTGCTAGACCTTAGTTGGTTGCAAAGTTTGTGTGATGATTGATGTAGGACAGTGGGGCCTCCTAAATCTGTATCAAGTTTTCTCTAATTATTTTTGGTTATCAGAGACCACCCAATTAGTGTCGGCACTGTGCACTCTTCTTTTTAAGATTAAAACTTGTATTATATTAACTTCAATTTATTGAACATTAATATGACTTAAAGTTTAAAAAATTAATATACTTGAATGTGTTTGTTTTGTACAAAAAAATGGGGTGGTAATACTAAAAAACTCTTATAATTTCTTCAAGTCTGTTGAAAAGAAAGTTTCTCCCAAACCAATACATAAACAACTTCATGAACAATTGTTTTATTCATTCTGATACCTGCATGGTCTTTCCCAGATACAAATGGTGATAACTACCTGGACACGGGAGAGTTGGAGGCTCTTTTTGTTAAAGAGGTGAGAGTTGTCTTACATTGCTTAATGCCATATATAAGCATATTGTTTGAAACAGTAAGAACCAATATTTGAATCACTGGGATGATGCCTCCAACATTCTTAATTTCTACATGATGGTGAAAGGACTAAGTGGAGTCTAATTGCGTCTGTTATCATACAAGTGATTACCAAAATTGGATGACCGCGGAGCAGGTGTCAGATTTCTTTATCACAATTATGGTTACGGACTGAATTGGATGTTACCAATTAACCAAAACTATGACAAAATTTGAGAAAGAAACAAGAGATCAGTCATGTGTTATAAAAAAAAATCAGTTAACTTGGCAAAAGGCGCTACAACAGCACGCATACATGATATGTTCTGTCCACTTATGCAAGCATGACCTGTTGACTGTCCCTTTAACTGTCCCATTACAATGTCTAATTGCATCAGGCTGGTGATGACCAATCATGTTTGAGAATTTTGTATCACTTTGATTACCTGAGGAATTAACTCTTATTTAGATATACATTTTAGTAAGTTAATTACCTTCCATGCAGAGATATATGCATAGTTTAAAATATTTTGCCAGACTCAAAGGAAAACAGATATATTTTAAATTCTTGAAAGCCTTGGCCAAAGCACTATTAAGTAATTTTAATTTTGACTACTGATTTGATGATATGTATTACTCCTGCCAGTATTAAATGATTGAAAACCTCAGTTACCACAAGGTTTGAAACACAGAGATAGCAGGGATGAAGTATTACTCAGGTATAGGGTGAATTTAAATGTCGGTATACTTCATGTGGGATTCTGTGCTTATATTCAACTTAGGTTGACAAACTCTTTGATGAGAAGGATGAAGACTATGATCCTCAAGAACGAGATGAAGAGATTTCAAGAATGAGGGAACATGTCATGAGTGAGGTAACAAGCTAGGAAATATTTGTCCTTTTTTTTTGGTAATCAGATTATTTTCTTATCTTTTTTTTTATGGAGTCTAGAAATTATCTCAAATGTGTTTTTTAATTTTCTCAAATTCAAGGGATATCAGAGTGATTAATTTGCAATTGTTTTTAGTTTTCCACCTGATTTACTGAAAAAGTGGTGCAAGTTTTTTGAACAAGTCACCAGTCAAGTGAAGTAAAACAAATTTAGGTGTGGATAACTTTGAACTCATTTGAAATTGCCCCTATATCTATGTTCCTATTCTTAAAATACAGTTCCAGTTCTACAGCTGTCGTTCTTTTTTTTATTGGCAATGAATGGATATACTCTTTGAATCTCAGTGATTGATGAGGCCATGTGAACGCAGAAAAGCTGGGTGTTGCTTTTATAAAAAAGTGCTATACAAAGATATGCATAAATGTTCAATAATTTAAGGCTGTTTACATACTCTAATATGGTGAGTACAAAGAGTGTGTATTTTATCTTCATCCATCTTACTCTAACATTGTGTCATTTTCTGAAACCAATTTCAGATTGATAAGGATAAAGATGGTTTTGTTTCAATTGATGAGTTCCTGACAGCAAGTAAAGGGGATGAATTTGACAAAGATGAAGGGTGGAAAAGTGTTGAAGAGGAACACCCATATACCGATGAGGAATTAGCAGAGTTTGAGAAACAACTGCAGGAGGAGGAGAAAGCAAGGATGGCTACTCATGATCAAGGAGCTGCAGAAGGCAACACAGCTGGTGACCTAGCTAAGGTTAGTGTTTTACTTAATAAATAAGTGTTTTTGTTTGCCTGTATGAAAAACAGGAGAGTTTTGATGAAGTTTGGGCACTCAAGTCAGAGAGAATTAATTATCCAAGGAGAACTTTAAATTCTTTGCAAAAACTGTACCTTTTCATGTTGTTAGTAAATTAATAAAACTAACACTGCTGTTTTAATGTCTTTGTATGCTGAAAATTTGGCCAAGTATTATTGTCTGGTCTAAGCGAATTCCTGTAATGAATGGTAAACAAGGTCATGAAATAAATCCTCAGAGACTGACAAAGTAGCTTGTGCCTGGGGCATATTGACAGCCTAGAGGTTTATTGGGGGCAGGAAGAGGGTGATTACTGTAGAATTGCTTAAGGTTAATTGTTATAAAAATTCTGGAAAGAATGCCATCGACAGGCTGAAAAAAGAGTAATCCAGAAAGGACATGTGTGTTGCAATTTGTGGTTATTTGGCTTTGAACGATAGTTCAGTAGTAAGGATTACTTGTTGATGTTGATATTGCATAGTTCATTGCACAGTGTAGGCCTAATGATTTGTTAAACTTCCACTACACCAAGATTTCCTTTATTTAACTTTGTTTGTTTTCTTTGACTAATAGCAAATAGCAGGAGCAGCAGTAGAAGGACACACAGAAGATCAACAACAACAACAACAACAACATGAGGAGTCACAGCAACAACAACAACAACAACATACATCCTAAGGAACAGTGGAACTGTTTACAGGGAAAAAAATAAAACAGCTTCATGGCTTGAAAGATGAATACTGTCCTTGACTATTTAAACATGTTGCCCATGTTTTTTTAAATTACAGAAAGAATACTGAGAGTTATTGTACCAAATGAACATTGTTTCTGTGAGCAATACATATACTTGTTTTATTAATATGTTCAAACGTTGCATAGATCAGTCTGACAACCTTTTCACAGACTTGAAATTTTCATCAACTCCCACTTAATATCAAAATCAAATGGAAACCTTTCATTTCACTGAAACAACACTTGTACTACATTGTTATCTGTGAGTGGCTAGAATGGTAAAACAACACACTTTGTGTCCTATTGGATCACAGTACTATAGTCCCTTTTTATTAATTTTGTGTTACAGGGGAAGGGGGGATGTTGGTACAGCTAAGGTAGTCTTAAACCCATGGCTCTTGGCAAGAGCATCACAGAGGGATGGTGACTTTCCCTTTGCCTTTTACATTTTGGTAACCAATGATCATTCCTCTTCTAAAACTACCTACTGTAGCATGCTATTCTTTATTTTTCAAAGCATGGCATAAACATGAACCTCAGGGGCTGCTACAGTTCCAGAGAGTTCATCTTTTTAAACCAAGATAATTTAAAACGAGATCTCATCAATCTACAAACCTTGTCTACTACATTGCATTTTTCTCTACATTACGGTGCTAGCCAATGAAACTTAGTGCAACAGGAAAAGCTAGTTGAAGATTATTTTTCCTTCATTACTATGTACTAAGACAATAAAAACATTTGAATATTTGTACCTATCCGAGATGAGAAAAATTAGAGATTTAATAATAGAAATATATCTTCATTTGAGCAATTCTCACATGTACTAGTCAGCTTTCTACCCCGAAATGCCATTCTTAGACACTGAAATGTAGCAGTTTTAGATTTAGCTTGTAATCAAATTGTATCTAATATATACTCTGTCTGGTATGTATGTCCTCTCCAGATTCACTTGTAATCCAACAACTAGCCTGTAGGTTTACATGTGCATAGATATAGAACCTTTGTGCAGTTTGTAGGATTCCTTACCATCTAAATGTGAATAAATTTAAATAAAATTCTAGTATTTTGATTTAAATATCCATTCCATATTGTGCCCAAAATAGGTCATTTGTACCATAACTAGGCAGTGCAAAAAAATTCAGTTGGGGAAGGGTAAATAGCTGGATTCTCTAGGGGTACTGACAAGAATGTTTGCCAAGAAACTTCAACATCTCTTTGCTTGAAATTCATGGGAGCAATAACTCCCCTCCCCTTCCCCTCCTCAAACTTCAAGCCTGTGACAGTCTTCCAGAAATAATAAGAGTAAGAGATAGAGAGACACATACATATACTAATTGACAAAATCAATGAAACCAGTGCACTGCTTCGCATTATGATTCAAGGTTGGTGCATTGTTGTGCCTGCCTCTCACCAAATAATTCAGTTCCCCTTGAAATCCAGGAATTGGCTCCGCTCTTAAATTTGCTTTCACTTATGTGTACTAATTTTCTCATTGGGTCAATTGAGTCCTTTAACATTTATGTTTCAATGGCCCTTTGGGCTTATAAAAGTGACTATCATCGCTGTGAAATGTGTATGCTACTTTTTCTTCTCAATGCTCCACACTTACAGAAACACTTGGGTCAACAGGGAAACAGTTAAACAATTTTATTAGTTGAATCATTTGATTATTGTTACAGTTAATTACTGTAAATCATGAATTTATCAAATAATTATTTATGACTTGTAACCCCAAACTTTGCAAGAATAAAATAAAATTTCAATAAATTAGAATGATCTACATGGATTTGGAATTCAAGGGTAAATAATTTCCAGTTATATTTTGTGGATGCAACCTGACTGATTTTTCTCATCACTGTGACAAAAATAGATTCAGAGGAAGACATACAGTCAACACTGCATCAACAAGGAATAAGAGCCCCTCACATGAAATATAAAGTAATTAATCCTGTCTCTGCTCAACTCAAATAAAACATAATTATTATGCCTTTGGCACACATAAAAATAAATAACTGTAACCTCAACTTTTACAGGTTCCAATGATTTGTACTATAAAATAAACCTTTAGAAGAAAACCTCTCTATAAAACTGCTTCAGACAGCTTTGAAAATGTTATTAAACAATCTTGCTCATGTATCAATGATGTGTTCACTGGGATATGAAAGCTCACAAGTTAAAAGAGCTCTCTTTAATTAATAGAATTTGGAAATGAACTGAAGAAAGATGTTATATATTAGAGTTTGTAAATAACTCAGCTTACTTATGACAAAAACAAAATTATGTAACTGTTTTCATATCCTTTCCATCTGTACCATGAATGTTTAAGCTTAGCTTTGGGTTTGCTAAGAAAGAGTGAACCCCTTATAATGGTGGGAACCTAATTTCTCCTTAAGTATTACCGCTGAATCAAAAATCATGGTCATGAGATTAAAGGAAATGATTGCCAACTAGAGAAGCACTTGATAGGTGAACAAGTTCTCCATGTCTGACTCAGCCCTGTAGGAAATGTTGAGAGAAAAGCATGGAGAACATGGCTGCCCACATTGGGGTGCAGAGAGTGAACTCTATTTTATTAAAACACAAACAGCTGAGAGGCTACCTTGTTCTTTCTAAAATGACACAGCTGCTCTTCTCTGATTTAAGAATCATATAAAACCCTCTCAGAACTTGGTTTGTTACCTGGTAAAATTTTCTCAAAGCTTGTTTAAATACAAAGTATATTTGTTTTCCACTGTTGATCAAAACTGATAAGTTTACAAAATTATGATTGTATAACTACTACAACAAACCAAGATAACAGTTGTTAACTATCCATGTCCACATCTCCCAAATGTTCCCTTCCATAATTTGTTATCATTTCTTGAAGAAATTCTTGTTTTAATCTACTGAGGCATCTGTGAAAAAATTCAACAAGAAACCCACATCAATGTGAAGAAATTGAGGAAAGTTTTATAAAAGTTAATACATCAGTGCTACAGATATTTTAAAACCCAAGATTCAGTGTTAACTAAAAGAAAGCTAACAGTTTTTTCATGAGGATTTGATACAGTTTCAACATTATTTTAGCAAGATTGTAAATTTGCACTTACCTTCTGTACAATGCACTGGATCTAAACTTAAATATATCAAATGAAGGTGAGTGTGGCATGTGTATGCTGAACACATTTGGTAAAACTACAAATTCATACCTGTGAACAAAATACAGGTGTAAGCTTTGATAACACTTAGTTGAAAACACTGCCCTTATAAATAATCTCTACCCACCTCTACATCACGTTGCCTTTACATTTATAATACAACCCAAGATTGATAAAGTTTCAACATAATAGAAAAGCTAGGGCTAAGTATATAAATAAAAAAAGAATAACAAACATGATTTTTTTTTCCCAAATTGGCTCAAGAGGAAAACATTTTTTTCCTTTGGCTACATGTAAAACCAAATAAGGAGTTGGTAAAATTCCCAATATGATCAGCTTATGTTACCAGTACTCACTGAATATAATTATCATTTTATCTAGAAACAATAAGGTTTCAAGGTAGAGGATTGTCTTCATAATAAAAGTCTACACTGCAATTGATTTAAAAATTTTTTAATATTATTTTTAAATATTCACATTTTCTATCTCATAGTCGTTCCACTCCCTCAAATTTACATCTAACCTGCAATGTATATGATCATATGGCAATTCTAAAATATTCAACTTACCCCTGGGCTTGTAATTCCATTATATGAGCTACTTTATTCCAACCAAATCCTACGAAACGCTTGTCATATTTGCTAACATTATTTCTTACGACAACATAAGGCTCAAAATCTTCTTCCCACTGAATCTGTAATTGATAGATTGAAACACAAGGGAAAATTGATTTCAACGTCTGGTTTTCGTTATTAAATAATGATTAACTAGCATTATGAAACTCAAAAATTGTGTACACTTGAAACATTGTAATTTATTTCATATCAAAGCACATCAGAGGCAGCTGCAGTCTCTCTGGTTTCCTAACGTAAATGATGTTCCTGTTGAAAAATTCAGATTAAAAATTTTATAAACAAATGTTAAGTAAGGTGTGTAAATCTTATGTGTCTGACTCAAACTACAAAAAAAATGGTGCCATTTGTAAAACACAGTCCAAAAATGTTAATAACAGCATAATAATGTTCTAACTGCTCCCACACACAGTGTATGGAGTGGTAGCTGTTCTCCACTTGGCATAATTGGTTGCTGCATGACCTTTACTCCACTCATGGTGTCTGGAAATAGATTGAGAAATATCAGATAAACCATTGGTCATCTAACTGATCCCAAACACCTTTAACAAAGACATTCCCTGGGTGAGAATTTTTATAACACAGCTGTCCAATAAATTCTCAATTTATATTGCAAGGAAAAAAATTTCAAAAATTATTCTAAAATAAATATTTCATCTTGCAAATATAATTATAGAAACATTGCCTATAAGATATAATTATTTTAAGTGAATATCATAGATTCTCCTTAATAATTGTCTCCTATGAAACATTTATGAATTATTTTATTTCAAATTATTACTCATCAGCTCATCAAACCAAGGGTGACAGTTTTGTATAGTTTATGTAATTATTAATTTAAAGTTATATCATTCTTAGATGTTTCAGTTTTTACAGTGCTCCAAGCTGGGGCCATTTTGGTTATGATGACCAGAAAAAATTATAGCATCCAAATATGCAGCATAAGTCACCGATTTGGGGATTTGTGTTTGGTGATCATATCCCATCATTTTCTATGAAAACTTGTCTCTTTTGCTTTGTGTATGTCAGCCTCCACAAATTAAATGAATCTCCACGAGCAAATGCCACCCATACTGACATACATATAGTCAGCTGTTTTGACCATGAAATAATACTGCACAAGTGTCTTTTTTTCCTTCTTCTGGCAACCAAATCTTAATTCGTGCTTAATTCTGCCAACCATTTTTTGATTTCAGTCTGCCAAATGGCCACTTTAACAAATTTGAACTTGGAGCCCTGTTCTTAAGAAATGAAACAATTGTAATCTAATAATGAACCCACCTAAATGTAAATATAGAACCCAGGTCCCACTGTGACAGCAGTTGTGCTTTTGTCTTTGGAAAATCTAATTTGTAGTGAAGAGTCTCAAAGGCTGGAACAACAAAGGCCTGCAAAAAAAAAAGTGAAGAAATATTTCCTATTTCTAAATCTGAATAGGGTGTCCTGAGTGAGTTGACCTTTTTTCAATATAATACACCGAATGCAAATATGGCATCCAATTTGAATTGCCATTGTTCTGGACTGACTAGCCTCGTCTTCACGTGGAAACACAAAAGGATTTATTTATTACATGTTTGAGAGGCTAGTCAGTCCAGAACAATGGCAATTCAAATTGGACGCCATATTTGCATTCGGTGTATGGTGGGGTTTTAAACTCAGATGTCAAGAAAATAACTTTATATCACTACCTTTAAATCACAAGCCCAACATATTACACATTATCTGAATAAGTTTACACAATTTTGAACAAACTTGACCTGAAATATTACAGACCCTCTTTTGGCCAACCCTTCAATCATTAACACTGACTGACCTTTTTGTTCATGTTTGAAGCTGCTTTTAACCACTGCCTGTTCAAATTAAGACGAAAGTTACTGTCAGTCATGGATGAGAAAACAATGGAGAACATGATGGCTTTCATTGATTTGTACCATACAAAAAAAAAAAAAATACAAGATCACATTAAAAACAAACAGACTATTTGACTTTTTGGAACAAATGGTATATGTACTTCTTGCAAATAACTGGACTGACATTGGGATAAATTATTTGGATTTGTTATAAATTACATTTTTAAAATTACCAGCACACATCTCAATAGCCACTGTATGGAAAGAACACTGAAAGACTAAAAAGTGATGTTTTACAGTGTCATGTACCTCAGAGAACTGTACGCTCCTGGCCCTGGTACAAAATCAATGTCACTCAAAAATACATATGGAGTGCGCACATGTTCCAAAGCAATGTTTCTGAGATAATTTACTGGGTAAAATTGCTGAAAAAAGAGGTTAGAAACCAGTTAAAATAAACACATTGATTATTTATTACTATCTGTGATAATATTAATAATTTCAAATTAATGATATTGTCACCTTACAACAGGAAATTGATGGGATGTGTCAAAAATGAAGACCCAAAAACGAAGACCTAAGACCCAAGACCTAAGACTCACTGGTCTAAAACGAAGACCCTGTGGTCTGAAACGAAGACCCTGTGGTCTAAAATGAAGACCCTGTGGTCTAAAACTAAGATTCTGCGGTCTAAAATGAAGACCGTGCGGTCTAAAACAAAGACCCTGCAGTCTAAAACGAAGACCCTGCAGTCTAAAATGAAGACCCACTGGTCTAAAACGAAGGCCCTGTGGTCAAAAATGAAGACCCTGTGGTCTAAAACGAAGACCCTGTGGTCTAAAATGAAGACCCTGTGGCCTAAAACGAAGACCCTGTGGCCTAAAACGAAGACCCTGTGGTCTAAAACAAAGACCCACTGGTCTAAAACGAAGACCCATTGTTCTAAAAACCTTTTTTTTCAAGGAAAGGCTATACACTTAGCTCAATTGCTCTCATTTCTGTAGCACATAAATTAAAATGTTATCTGAGTGTGCGACCAATTTGACAGCTATGTTATCTCAGTCGGTGCACCATGTGTCAAATTGTGTAATGCAATTAAATTCTAAGAATACAGAAATGTACATTTTAGCGATGATTTTGGTATATTTTGTCGTCCAAACATTCTATTTTTCAAATGCATATTGAGCAAATTACGATGAGGTGACTTCATTACTTTGCTACACTGTCTATATCATATAAAGGCGCAAATAAGGTCAACTGTGCATAACTCGCAAATTTATTCACCACAGGCTACAAGGATGATCTCCCGCCAAAATGGTCTAAAACCATAAACACAAAATTTCTGCAGTGCATAATATAAAATGTCTCTGGGCACGCTTCATCTAAGAGCAAGCAACATGTGTCAAATTGTGTAATGCAMCTTCAAATTCCAAGAGTGTCGAATTGTAGGTTTTAGTGATGAGTTTAGTACATTTCTTCATCACCAACTTTACATTTTAGATTTTTTCAAATGACAGTGAGGCGACTTCAATAATACTGCATCATACTGTGACTGTACCTACTGCTTGATCCATTTTAAAGACCGAGCTCAAAGCTCATCTATGCGTGACTTGCAAAGCTACTTGAATAATCTTGTACAATCAAATATGGCACATGCAAGTGTAAAAACGAACAACAGTTTTAAAACTGTGGCTGCTTTGATATAGGTAAAAAATGTCATAACCAAATTTGAAAACTACATTTTAGTCTCTTCACACAAATCAGGTTGACTTTTATGGAACTGGCTCTTCATTTTGTATCAGACCACATTTACATTTCAAAGGCTTGTGGTTATGGCTGTGGATAAAGCTGTCGTAAAGCGTAGGTCAAAAGATGACTTCTCTGTCAAATTTTGTTAAATGAACAGTCCACACATATTTGACTAAGTGTTCACATCAGTCTTTCGGAGTTGGAGTAATAAATTTTGATCTAAATAGCACAGCTCAGATGTTTGATAGGGCTCACACTGGTGCACTTAAGCTGATGCTAGGGATGCCTGTATGAAATTTCATTCTCAGTGCAGGGATGCATACGAGAGTGACAATTTAATCTTCCCGGGAAAATCACATTCTGGCGGGAGATCATCCTCGTAGCCTGTGCTGAATAAATTTGTGAGTCACGCACAGTTGACCTTATTTGCGCCAGTATAGACAGTATAGCAAAGTAATGAAGTAACTTCATCGTAATGCATGTGAAAAATAGAATATCTGTGACGACAAAATATACCAAAATCGTCACTAAAACGTACATTTCTATATTCTTAGAAGTTAATTGCATTACACAAGTTGACATCTGTTGTACCGACTGAGATAACGTAACTGTCAAGTTGGTCAAGCGCTGAGATGACATTT